CAAATACCCTTCAAATTGGCAAAACGAAAATTGAAAATAGGGTTAAATGGAACACGAAGGTGCATTTTCAAGGATCGCATTAAACACAATTACATTGCATGGCCCTTTAAGCTGTGATTGATCGATCTTATTCATCGTAAATCAAGTAGATACACGTGTGCAGAGGGAATCCCCTTGTGATGATCTGGATTGTTTACAGATACTGCATGTTAAATGTTCACTATTGTTACACACCATTAGATTTAGTTACTTATTACTTATATGTTTGAGGTGTGGTTTGTGTCACGACCGGTAGTGTAATAATCGACCGGCAATGTAATACCGATTCATTATGTAATAAAAATCGACCCGTATTAAACATCGGCCGATAAAGTAATAATTTTTTGGCCTTTTTTAAATGTAATAAAAGTTGACCGGTAAAAATGTAATAACCAAAAAACAACCCTTAATGTACGGGAGCCCATTGCGTTTCTTTTTTGCGGTGGTGCGTTTCTCCTTCATGGTAGCAGTGTTGTAATCGAGTCACCAACGTCGAGTCCGAGTCACAAGCCTCGAGTCCGAGTCCGAGTCTCGAGTCACAACCCTCGAGTCCGAGTCCAAGTCACGAGTCACTTGTTCACCAAACTAATCCAACAAAAATTAAAATTATTTTATTATCCATTCTGTCTTTTAAGTAAGTCCCAGTGTATATTTACCTTGTGTGTGTAAATGTTGTTTAGACCCAAAATGTGTTTTCCTTTTAATTCCCATCCCTGAAAAACCCTCCTCCATCCCTTCCCTCCATGTTTCATCATCCAAATATTATTCCTTAGTGATCCTTTCCCATCCCTACCCCATGCTCGGCCCCCGGATACGATTTTCCGCGGCGATGTGTTTTGTCGGTGGAGTAAAAACCAAAAAGAATGCTACGTTCGTCGCACAAAATAATACGTAACGTTATGTCTTTTCTTTTGATAAAAAAACGTGACTCGAGTCACGAGTCACCAAGCTTGATTCCGAGTCGTCATGGTCGAGTCCGAGTCCGAGTCATTTTCCAATGTGACTCGAGTCCGAGTCACGAACAATGTGACTCGAGTCCGACACGAGTCAGAGTCCTCGAGTCCTACAACATTGCAGGTAGCTACAATCCTGGCCAAATCTCGCTGGGCCCCCAACCCCCCAGCCCCCGCTCAATGTTGTCTCTCATTGCGCGGTGTGTGCTCCATCCGCTGGAGAGAACAACATTGACCGGGGGAGCGGGGGAGTTGGTGACCGTTGGAGGCTAAAAAGGTTATTTCCAAGTGTCCCAACCATTTTGGCCGGGATTGTAACTACCCTCTCTTTCAGAATGTGTGTCTCTGTCTTTCAAGGGGGCAAGTCCTTTTTCATAAGGGTGTATTTCTCTTTAGGTGTGATTAACTCGCGGCCGCGATATAAATATGTTGCGGCCGCGAGTTAATAAGTCGCGGCCGCGAGTTTATCAATTAAAAGAGAAATACACCCATGTGAAAAGTAGACTTGCCTCTTGAGGGAGAGAGACACACGTTCCAAAGAGAGATGAGCAACCATGAAAGAGAAACGCTCCATCGCAAAAGATAAACGCACCGCTGTTAAAGACAAAGAGGTATACATGGCCCTAATAGGCTTCCGTAGTAATGTAATGACAAGAAGGCCGGTGTAATAAGCATATACATGTATTCTCTAGTATTTTGGAATAGTTTAGGAAACTTAGTTTTTTCAAGTTTTGATGGTGATCAATATTGCCTAATTAATATCTTATGCAAAGCCTATGCTAAGCTTCATGTACAATATTGTAGCGACTGATTTTACGAAAGCCTTCGACCGTATTGATCACACTATATCAATTACCAAGTTAGCCGTCCCACTGACGTTTGTATGCATGAGAAAAAATTCCAGATGTGGAGCCATCGCAAACTCACCCTTTTAGGGGCGTGACAGCCATATTAAAAAGACAAGGGGGCGTGGTAGTCATGATGTCCCCCTAAAAAACTGTATTGCGAAATAACGCAATAGTTTTGCGAAATAACGCAATACTGACGTGTACAAAATTCACCACGGGTGTTCAGTTTGGCTTTTATTAATTTGTCCATTTTGATTCAATATTCTTGAAGTTCCTATCCGTCATTGCGTTTTTATTCATTGTGCTCCTGTCGTGGTGCGGTTTTGTTTGAAAAACGTATACTGATATGAATTACAAAAGTGTTTTTTAAGTATGTTAAAGAACTGAACGAATTTTAAAAGATTTTCAAAAAAACCGTACCAGTAACTCTTCATTTTGTTCTTAAAGCTAAGACGTGCTTTTATGGGGTCATTAGGCAGTGGTGGGTTATGGGGATTGTTGGGATGATTAACCATCATCTTCTGTCTGGAAAATGCCAACTGGGTAGAAAATCCCAATGTATTCCTGAAATAACACTCGTCATACAATCTCTAGGCATTGCTTTAGGTCTTTGGTCCCATTTATAATTTGTCCTCCGCTAACCCCCTTTACATATCAAGGATCCGCCATGCACGGTGGGCTTTTATACACCATAAAAAACGCAATAAGTACTGAGTTATTTCGCAAAACTTTTGCGTTATTGCGCAAGCAAAATGTTGCGTTATTTCGCAATACTATTGCGTTATTTCGCGATACTATTGCATTTTTCGCAATAAAATATTTTTTTGTACTTTTCATACCTGGCACGAACGGCCTTCCGTATAAACGTATTAAACTTCGCCCAGATTTTTTGTTTCTTCAGATGTGGAGCCATAGCAAATTCACCCTTTTAGGGGCGTGGTATCCATTTAAAAAATGGGGGTACTCATTATGCCCACTGTGGAAAAGTTTTCCTATACCTTTCATAAACGCATTAAACTTCACAAATAATTTCGCGAGAGAAAATAAATTCAGATGTGGAGCCATCGCATACTCAGCCTTTTAGAGGCGTGGCACCCATTTTAACAATGAGGCTACTCCTTGTGCCCACAATCGTATTTTTCATTTATTCTGTGACCGATTTCTTACATTTCTTACATTGTTGGCTGGTCAGTTACATATGATCTCATTTGGTAACACTACAACTTCCACCTAAGGGCATTTTACTTAATTTACTTATTTTCTAAAGAAGAATCTGACATTTACATCTGACTAGACATTTGAACAATAATAACAGGATCCCCCATCAAGTTCCCAAAAATGTTCCAAAATACTAGCAAATCTATGCTTATTACATATTAAACCGGCCTTCTTGTTGTATTATTCTTGTTATTATATTATGATATGGAAAGAATACCCGGCTGAAAAAAAACTACCGGCCGATGTTACATTACAGGTCGATTTTTGTTGCATTACAGGTCGATATTACGGGGTCCGCCCGATAGTCCGAAGGTTCGATAGTCCGAAGGTTTATTTGTCCGAAGGTTCGATAGTCCGAACGCACACATTTCCCATAACCGCACTGAAAAATTGCCTCGGTTAATTTTACCCAGGAAAGGGTGAAAACTGCAACTACCCAAACTTTGGTTGTTCTGTAACCAATTGTTTGGGTTAGAATTTCTGTTAAATTCAACCAAAACTTTTGCTCATAAAAGACCAAAATTAATTTTGTCTTGTATCACTACAACTTCTGGTTGAATTTAAAAAAAAAAATTACTCAAACAATAGGATATAGAACAACCCAATTTTGGGTAGTTGCAGTTTTCACCCTTTCTTGGGTAAAATTAGCCCAGGCAATTTTTTAGTGCGGGGGTTCTTTAGTTCGAAAATGAAATAATGTTCGTATGCAATAGTCCGAAGGTTTAAACATCCGAAGGTTCATTGGTCCGAGGGTTCGGTAATCCGAAACAAAAACAAGGTTCATTAGTCCGAAGGTTATTTCGAAAGCACACAAGGTGCGATCGTCCGAATTAACAATAAGGTTCGACAGTCCGAGTAGACGATAGGGTTTGATAGTCCGAATCGACAATAAGCAAATTGACGAGATATCCAATTCGACGCACTGTCAATTATCGACGTAGAAGTAGAAGTAAGGTCCAGTAGTCCGAATCTATTTTCGAACCTTATTGTCATTTCGGACTATCGAACCTTATTGTCGATTCTGACTATCAAACCTTATCGTGTTTTCGGACTAACGACCCTTCGGACTAACGAACCTTCGGACTAACGAACCTTCGGACTATCGAACCGTATTGTCGATTCGGACTGTCGCACCCTATCATGTATTCGGATTATTTAATTTAACCTTATTCTATTTTCGGACTAATGGGCCCTTCGGACTAACGAACCTTCGGACTATTGAACCTTCGGACTATCGAACCTTCGGGCTATCGAATCTTCGGACTGTTGAACCTTCGGACTAACGAATCTTCGGACTAACGAACCTTTGGACTAACGAACCTTCGGACTATCGAACCTTATTGTCGATTCAGACTATCGCACCCTATCGTTTATTCGGACTGTACTATCGAGCCTTCGGATTATTTAACCTTATTCTATTTTCGGACTAATTGGCCCTTTGGACTATCAAACCTTCGGGCTAACAACCCTTCGGACAAACGAACTTTCGGACTATCGAGCGTTCGAACTATTGAACCTTCGGACTATCGAGCCTTCGAACTATCGAACCTTCTGACTCATAATATTGAACCTTCGGACTAACGAACCATCGGACTGACGACCCTTCGGACAATTGGCAGTCACCGATATTACATTACGGGTCGACAAGTATATTACCAGTCGAAGCACTTACGCCTGTCTGTAGGCCTAATATTACCACTGTCAAGGAACCGTTGAGTCCAAGGATGAAAACATATGTCAATGTCATTGGCTTTCGAGTCAATCAAGTACAAAGTGTGAGCTAGTAGGCAAGCGGGCCCAAGCTATATAGAATCACGTGTAAAAGCATCAGTTCAACATTTAATTAAAAAAATAGGGGTTTTATAATGGTTTATTATTCTTTAAATGTGATTTGTTTATACTTTAAATGTGAGGTTTTTTTTTTTTATACTTTCCCGGATAGATGACGCAAAGAGACGGAGTGCGCGAACGGAGGCATTTGGCATTTTGATGTCGGGGGCTGTTATCTTCACCATTATCTTTGTTGCTCTACACTGCGGTGGTGGGAATCATGCCGTCAAAGTCCGGGCCGTTGCACCTGTCGAACCTGGACGACACACTCAAACATCCGCTATCTTTGCTGCAAGAGGAGGTAGTGCGGGACGAAGTCCAATCGCCCATGTGTAGTTGCAGATATTCTTTGGTGCTTTATTATTTTCCGTCTGTTTATATTATACAAACAACTATGATGCGAAGCATTTTTACTTTTTCTTTCAATGCCTTTTAATAAAATAGATTATGATTGGTTTTGTATTTTTGTATGCGTCTACTTTTTAAAAGTACGTTGGCTTATCCTCTTTTTCGGACGACTCGGAAAATGACTAACGATTTTGCGGTTAAGAAAACTCAGTGCAGTCAATACATGTATGTATAGCATATCGTATATAAGGCACAAATCATATACGCATCTTTGTACCCGCCCTTGTATTGGTAAAATCTGTAACAGCCTATGCAAAAAACGCATGGATGTTATTTTTATATTCGACACATCAATTGGTCTATCAATGCAGAGAACCTAGTGTCACTGTGACTCTGACAAATAATACAGGTCGACTTTCACTTGAACAAGTTGATCCTTTTGATCTGGGACTTTCATGTGATTTGGTATTACCTGTTCAGCGATCTACCATTCTCAAGTCCCACTTCCATTTTGTAAAGACAAATAACATATTTAAGTTCCACAAACCTTAGTTAATGTGCACTATTGTGTATTCTTGCGACGCATTGCTGTGTGAGATGTGTGCAAGTATGAATGTGTGCAATTATAATTGATCAAGCAAGGGGTGGGCCCCCTATATTACTAAAACCAAGGTATAGTAACTATGTAACGTCATAATGGTGGCACTTCGTACTGTGACGTTTCTGTGAAAACCAAACGGCTAATTACCATTTGCGTTTTCTTTTATGCGATAATTTATTGAAAGCATTATTATAGGTCTTCCCGGCTATTTAAAAACGTTTTTCATTCCAATTCTCCAATTCACCAATTTGCCCGAGAAGAATTTCACATGCTTTTGGCAAAATCGATTGAGTCATCTATCATTCAATTTCAAAGATTGGTCAACCTATTTAAGCACTGGGTCAAGAATTTTCGTCAGTAGAGTTTGAATACGTCTCAGCTATTGCCGAATGACAGCTGTTAGAGATCGAAATCGTCTTATATCAATCACTTTAATACTTGTGTTAAGTAAATTAGTCTGTTGTATTTTCCTTGTGTCCTCAAGCATACTTCAGCACATTCGTTCGCATGATATTATCAGACCAAGTCGATCTCAGAGAACATTTACCAAAAGAAAAGTGTATACATTATCAAGAAAAAAATTACTTTCGAATTTAGAAACGAATAAAATAATTCCAAAAACTACGATGGCCCTTAATTTCCCGTGTGTGCCCTAAATTGAGTCTAAATTATTTTTTAAGAAAATAACATCAAAATAAACACACAACAATTTTAAGACGAAATATATTTTGCTGGACGAATTTGAACATAAGAGTCGGTGATTTGACTGTTAAACGTTTTAAAATAGCCAGGAAAACCTATACTTTAGTTACATGTAAAACCACATAATTTTGATGGTTGACTGAGACGACCATAAGAATTCACACACATGGAACCAAATGCATATTTTATTTCTAAAACCACATCCGTTTGGTGCAGTATATTGACTGTATATATAGGTCATCGGAATTTAGCAAAGAACATTCCAAGGGTATTTTTAATTTGCATTACCCATTATAATTATGCGTAAAGCATTATGCCTTTAGAGATTCTTTTTTCTTTAAAACTTCTAGTCTTGGCCCAAGACGCCAGTGATCAAGAGCGATAGTTGCATTGCTGTGTAGCGCCCTTGCATAATTGGTTATTTATTTTCTCGCACTAACGTCTTGGTCATTCGTAGCAATGGGGGCGGGGCCATTTTAGGTAAATAAGACGGTCTGTACCAATTCGAACAAACCTGTTTATAGCTCCATGTTAGCATAGTCGCCGCACGTATAGCAATTTATGTTTACAACCGTGAGCCATTGAGCCTTTTATCGACCGACCTTTTCTCGACTGCCGATTGGTTGCTTTGGAAAGCGCTAATGCTTGTTCACGTACCACGTGACGCGTGTGTTTACAACCGGCGGATGAGCCATTGAACCTTTCTCGATCGCTGATTGGTTCCCTAGGAAAGCGATGATGCTCGATCACGTACTGCGTGACGTGTATGGTTACAACTGTCGGGAGAGCCAACCTTTTCTCGATCGCTGATAGGTACCTTAGGAAAACCTACGAAGAAAATAAAGAAAAATTTAAACCGCTGATACGAAATGGCCAAGACGTTAGTGCGAGTTAGTCTGAGTATCACCCGTTACCCACGAAGCCAAGTCCCCTGTATAACGTCTGATATGTCAAAGCATGCATATTTATGCAATCTCGCACCTCAGCCAATCGGAGTCGACTTTACTAAATCGTGACGTCATTTCATTCCCAAATCAGGACTAAACGTATGATTGGTCAATTCAAATGCAGTGTTTTGTAATACAACAACAGCCGGTCGCGTATCGCGTAACATAATACAGAGCGCGTGACCACGGCCTTTGTTGCTGTTTCTAGGGTATTTTTTTTTCCATGTATGACGCGACAACGGTGAATGACCGAAGACCCGATATAGAAAACGCCCGCTGATTGGTCAAAATCTAGAGGTCAAGATACGGTTGCCTTGCATGATTAATCAGCAAATCTGCTCAAATGTTATAGCCTATGGTTTTGGCCATGGTCTATTACATAGACTAAGTGCGAGAAGGCCCGCTGGTCTAATTGGTGGGTGAATTGTTGTGCCATTAGATGGCGCACTATGCACCGTCCACTATCGATCTCTAGCGTCTTGGGCCAAGACTATAAAACTTCCTGCCTTCATAACAAAATGCTTGTGGCATTGTGACATCAAGCAACTACGTAATTATATATCAACTATATTTTATGGGTTTTTTTAATTAGAAAAAATGTTTTAAGATGGTTGTGTTCTCATAATAATGAAATGTAAAATTCTTTATTATCCACGCGTATTTACTTTTCGGGCAGTGGTCAGTACTATTTTTTAATACAATAAGCATTAGACTAGCTATGTTTTTTTAGCATGCATAAATTGAATATGTTTCAGGTGTGAATGAAAAGCGCATATCAGATGACAATGCCGTCTATGTCAGTACTAATCATTAGTTTACTTGTTGGATCCGTTTATAAGGTTCTTTATGAGACCACATTTATTTAGAGTGATCAAACAAAATGTCGTTTTTACCTCGTTTCAAACGCAGACATTACTGATCTTCCTTTTGGCGTGTTTTTTTTATCTTTGTCTTTTGTCTATTAATTAATGATATATTTTGTTGAAAAGAACATGCCAGATATGTTTTTATTAAGAACGTTAACTTTTTATATAAGGCTTTTTTATATTGCACTGGAATACAATTGCATTAATATGTGTACATAAAACATCGCCTTATTGTATTTTAAGGTTTTTATTTTTTATTATAATTTCGTTTGCTTGTTTAATTGATATTAATCTATAAAAATATATATATGTCTTACAGGCCCGGCGACCAAAATGTCAGTATAAAGCTATCTGGGGGGGGGGGGAATGACATGAACATGAAAACAAAACTTGTATAATAATACCCTGAACAATATTTCCAACTGTCGAACCCTCCTAAAATCTACCATAAAAAAAAATGCCATTTAAACCCTAGTTTTCTGCGACTACGTTGGAGGTATGAACATCATTGATGTGATTATTTTAAGCGCTCTTTGCTAAAGTCAACCAATCGAACCACTATTCACTTCTTTGGGTATAGGCCTACCAGGCTGTTCTTCGATAATGGAAAATGATAATCTTCTTGCTCAAGGACAAGACTCACTAATTTCGACTTGCAAGTTTAAGATTTCCCAAAAACACATCTTCATGTCTAGCGGTTAAAATAAAAACCAAAAAGGTTATCTATGCAAATGTTACAAGTATCACATTTTTCAGAATTAGCTCATTGTTCTGAAGTCGTAGGACATCACTTTGGTTTTGAATTAATAATAAAAACTGAAGATTAGATAAAACAAATTATCCATAGATAGTAGCTTATCCCTTCCATTTAAGTCTGAATTCGCTTCCAATGGGAAATGTGTTTATTACAATTAATGGTTCAAGCATGATTGTTTTTATTTGTGAATCTTGCGAGGTCCTACCACTCCAGATCCAGCGAGCGATATTCAATTTCTGAGAAAGTTCAAAGTAGGCAATTTTAGCAGTTAAAATGTACAAATTATGGCGCCTTACAAAAGGGTATATTTGAAGTGTAATTTACCTTTCTTGAAAGTAAAAGACAAAAGAGCAGGTTTGCATGTTTGTTAATGAAGTATTTAAGTAAATAACCAAATTGGTTGACGGTTAAAATAAAAATGGGGGGGGAATTGACAGTAAAATTAGACGAATTCCGTCAGAAAGCCACTTCTGTTTAAATTGTTCACGTGAATCTGCAATGCAATTTAAAAATAAGCATTGAAAATGGTTTGAGGATTTTTTTGCGCCATTTTGTGCAAACAGATTCAGATGAAGAAAATGCATGTATGGTCGCGCGCTCTTTATGGCGCGAACCATGTACCAGTGTGCATGCGTTGATTGCAACTGTTTGATTACCAAGAATGGGGAAGCGAATATTCCAAATCGTGCGGTGTTTTTTTTTCTTTCTTATTTCAGGTTTATCTATCCGTGCTCGCATGCGAGCGCGACCTCCCCCTCCTCCTCCCCCACTACTACCCTGTTACCCTTGTGATAGTTCCACGATGTGTATGCGTACTATTACCAGGGTAACTCGTGCGATTGTCTTCTGCGCATGCGGTTTTACCCATTAGGTGAATCCTCGTCTTGTGTAGCAAAACCATCGCATGACATGCAATGTCGAATTGAACAGTTAGAACTCGTCTCGCGCTCATGAATGGTCCTAGCTCTATGATATTACACCAGTTCGTCTCACACGAGTATTCTCAATCCCTGGAATAACAAGGCTCACCAACTATACCTTTTTGTGTTCTCGACTTTTTGAGTTCGTTAAGTTTTTAATTTCTTGCAAAGTATTTATCATTCAAAAATTACATTTGCAGCCTCAAACAGTCTTTTTATGTAGATTGACCCTGGTGGTAATGTTACAAAAACATTAGCCAACAGCGACGTGCTTTCAAACGTTTGCGGTATTTGTCACCGCTTCGTTTTCGAGTCCTGGGTTTTGTCGTCTTCGTGTTTTACCCCGTAATTTCGCTCATAAATCAAAACCCGTGCCCTCTATCCACAAAATTAGGCCTGTTGAAATTCAACATGGGTGTCACTGCTGGCTTTGAGTTTGAAAACAAATATTCCTATATGAGTTTTTCTCATATAGGAACGAGGTCATAAAAGTAATTAACACGTGACTATAGTTGTCATTCCAGTAGCGATCCCCCCCCCCAAAAAAAAAGGCTTCAAAAAGCATTTATAAATCATGTATAAATCACTAAATTAAACATGTATAAATTCGAAAATAGCGTGGGATCTGATATCACACAGCGAGTTTTAACCTACTCTATATGTTTTTTTTTATGCAGCGATAGTAAGAGTTTGGCTCCAAATGCGGTTGCCTAACATTCACACACAAGTCAGATATCGTTATTCTCAGTAAATGTAAGACATTTTGAGGATTTCCCGTGACCAAGAACTTGAAAATATTGCTAATAAACAATATGAAATTCTAAAATTTGGCGATCTCCGTACGAAAGTGCACAAAGAAGCTTGGGGCAACGAGTAAAAGTTGATTGTTGTCATGCATTCATGACGTCACTGGTTTAATCAGAAGACCATCAGAAAAGGTCGTTACTAAAATATAAACCGCGCTGGGTCGATCCGTAAACTTTGGGAATATCAATTAATGTGTCACACATCACTGTTTTTTTAGAAAATCTAAAACATAAAAAATGTAGATACAGTATAAAACTTTTATCAGGGTCTTCCGATGTCACCATGTTGATTTTTGTACGTGTATCTGAAGATTGGGAGGATACGTACATGGCACGGCACGTTTTTTTGTGAGAGAACAGCTTACTAGGCGATAATGGTTACAGGTTGTTTTGGATTAACATTATTTTCTCCCTAATTTGGATACAAAAGTTTGATAATATGGGTGGGCGCACCATGCTCTTCAAACATTATAATTTATAAATAATCTGCAAATTGAGAGTCTCACCCACTAATTGTGCATGATATAAAAATGTACAAAGTCTTGTAAGCACACGAAATGTAAAGTTGTTTCATGCTGTGAAGTTGATTCAAATCTGTGAAGACATTCCCTACTTGAACTAAACCTATGATGTGCGCTTGTAAAAGTGATGTTTAAAATGTATGATGTTAACGGTATAATGTCAAGTGCCGCGACAATGAATCCAAAATTCAATTAACATGATTAGCAAAAGTGGCTTGACTTGTTGTGCAACTACTAAAGCCCAAAACAAACCATTACAAATGACACTTGGATTGAGTACATTAATAACGCTTGTGCATAAAGTCCCGCATGGTAATTGCACTGCGAGTACAATGAGTGTTTCTTGTTGCAGCTGAAATCAAACGACATAATTATTGGTATAAAACGAGATACCTATAGTATTAAGATGTAGTTCATGTAGTTCAGAAATCATGCTCAAGACAAGAGAATGCTTGCCATGCATGATACACAATAACGCCAGAAGATCCAGGATTTTTCAACACGATGTACCCGGTAATTATTTTGAGTGTTCCTACATGGACGATGGAATGACATTCTTTGTATATAAACGTAATACATTATGACGAAACACCGTTTTGCTTTCTTTTCTTTTATTGTTGACAAGGTGTATCCAGAACGCAAGCGTGCATACATGTATTGTGGCAGAAATGAAGGTGCACTGGCCACAAAGAATTAAACCTGTAACGGTAGAAAAGATATATATATATAATTATAATTTCTAGATCTGCTTCATTTTCAGGATTCTTTTAGCACTGAGTAAATAGCAAAACGGATAATGTCCGATAGTGTTAAAATTTTTAAACGGGCTTAAAAAGAACATGAACAGTCTGTTGGTGGCAGTTATTAATAACCGTCATGTAATGGGAACTGACCTGAATTAATTATATTGACAATTATACATGTATACATGTAATAGGTTTTTCCGTCGGATTTTGCAACTTGTTCATTCAATCAGACAAAAATGTACAATCCGTTTCAATAGGTTTCAGGAAATCGGTACGAATGCACGTAGTTATTCTCAGACAAACGTATAAATAGGTTTATAATGAATATAAAAACCTTCTACTGATTTACATCACCCCGACGCAAAGTTCCATCTTATGAATAGTTATTCTCCGTTGGAGCATTTGATTTCGTTTAAATCTTTTCAAATAACTACGGGTATGTTTTTGTGAATGTTAAACCTCATTCGTTTGATGGTTTACGATTTTGCACCAAAAGTGCATGTAATACAGCTATGAGACAATTTACTTTGGTATTTATAACATTGATCGTAATAGCGATCAGAAAATCTATTTCATTTTTAAAAATGTGCAATGTTTATGCTATTTTTCAGGCGACATTCAACAAAGTAGTCACACCAATTATTAAACCAAGTCACTTTATCTATTTCCACCTAACACATTGACACGTTACATTCTTTTTTAGTTATGTTATGCATTTGTCACATTCCTTTATAAACTTGTCTTTTTAGACTCTGTTAGTTTCCAGCTAGTCTTGAAGAATTATATTTGGTTAGTTTCGCTATGATAACACGTTACAATTGGACCACAAACTCGCTTATACAACTGCCCAATTCCATTGAACATGACCGTGTACATCGAATTGAATTCCTGAGCGGAATGAAATGCACAGCTAGCCAGCTGCATGCTGCGCAAGTCCCGTAATTTGATGTAATTTTTTCTTTACGCGTGAATAAAGATATCTTGACATATTTTGATTTTTTTGCTGAATTGATACGGGTGTCCCAAGCTTACCCAATTTTACGCGAATTAGAATGGAAGATTTCAATATCCGAATGAACAAGGTGAGAAATTAGACAGCAAAACCTGTATTAACTGTTATAACATGCAGAATTAGACACAAAATATTGAAATATGTGGCTGATATTCAAGTAGAGTAAGACTGTACGCTATTGCTGCTGATGGTCGATAAACGCACCAATGTCTTTCCTTCCAATTTACGAATGACTTGAATTTCTAAGCAGATGTGATATTAAGCTTGGATATTTGATGTAGGCCCCTGTTAAAAGTTTGCCACTGTAATGTTGCAAGTGTACCGTATACATATGCACCGTGGCAAGATGAATAAATGCAAATAAAACCACATCTTTGTGAATATCGCCTTGTTCTCTTTGTGATGTAGTTTCAACCACTTGTTCATGTAGTTTGAACACGACCGTGGTTGCAGTAACTAACAAAATAAGTCATTGTAGATTGTCGATATTGATCGATAGTCCGATCGGCTGACGGCCGCTTCTGCAACCAACGTATTGTACGAAGCGCGAACAGCGACCTCACGCGGTTAGGATATACGATATGCAAATCAGGTGGTGCTGTTCGCATTAAGCACTTCGCTCGTACCCAACGCCCTGCAAAGAGGGAAGTGGGTCCGAGCGAAGTTCATTTCATTTCTCAATCACTTGCCTTTGGTGGCAAAAAATGGAAACATTTCTATAAAAACAAAATAATTGTTACTTTGTGTTCTATTTTTCAATTACGTTGAATGCTTACCTACAACATTGAAGCTTTGTGACACTATGTGCTTATGATGATCCTCTACCATGCATTGAGCCCAACCATCTCTTAAGTTGGTAGCAGCAACCAAATGCTGAAATATGCTTACATTACATAAATAATAGTAGAGAGTGGAAGGAGATTGAAAATAACTGTTACGGCTAAACAAAAAACAATTAAACTTAAGAGAGAGAAAAAACAGAACTCCTCTTAATTCACAATATGGAAACGGATTACATCTTTATAACATTTTTATTATATACTCGTAAGACCCTAACTCATATTTATGCATTGGTAGCAAGCTGTTCGCCCTGTCCTCCAATCTAAGTTTTAATATTTCCCCATGGTGGGCATTCTGCCTGTCTTAATCAATAACAACATCATTATGACATGCAAGGGTCCATGAAATGTCTTTTTTTTTAATGCTATTATTGAAAATGCACTTTAATTTTATGTCCCATGTAACCTTATTTTCATTTTCATTTTGCCGTTTTCAAGGGTAATTTGGTGCCTTTTTGTTTTATGCTAATGCAAATTTTCATATTCATGAGCAAAAGTGTGATGTCATATCAGGTAGAAACATCAATGTTTCAATTGGTTTGTGCACATAAAGTTACCAGAATTTTGGATATTTCGCTGTTGTAAACTTTCTTTTCTCTAGTGATTTGTTGTGTCAGTTCATGGCATGCAGTAAGCCAATGAGAAAACTTTTCTCACAAATGTTTTCCATGAGCAAATTTTTGGGTTCACAATTTCAACAGAAAACACCTAATTTGAACAGTCTTACTTATATGGCATCAAGGCAACAGCGCCCTCAGTTGTCAGGAAAAGCAGGGGAAATTTAAAATGTTTAAAGAAAAGCACTTTTCAGTAAAATTAACCAAAAGGGATGTCAATTAGTTTTCATACACTTGAGAAAATTAAAAAGTAGCACAAAATACGTTCCTAAGAAATATTCACTTGCATGGGCCCATTTAATTAATTACCAATAACAAACCAATCAACATCCATTATCCAAAACGTCATTGCCAGGACACTGACAGAACATCGTTGAAATGGAAGGAAAATGGTATAACGATGTATTCAATACACTTTATAAGTCTTATAAGTTTAACAAAGAATAAGTATGTCATTGGGGTACATGTATTACAGCCTGAAATCCCCGAAAAGTTTATGTTTTGGATGTTATCCTATTTCACATGGGCGTAAATCCCGGGGATGGGGGGTATACATTCCACCCCCCCCCCCCCCTTTTAACCGGGAGTAAAAATTGTATAATCCCCCTCCCAACACACACACACACACACCATACTTGTTTCACATGACTAGTGTGGACTTTCCATTGCTTTCGTGTAGTTAAGAAAAACCAGTGAAAAAACTCATTTTTCTCAAACTGTGAAAACTCTTTCAACCCAATTTTTTTTCTATGATTCCCTTTAGTGTTTCTCTTCATTCTGTTACAGATAAACCTAACCCAAAAATGCCTCTAAACCTGTTTTCCAGAAATGGGGAAACACTGTGTGGACGTGGGCAAGTCCACACAACGTCGGTGCTACCTACATTATGTGGACGTCTTTTGTTCGGAAGTCCACACTGCGTATGTAAGACAAGCTCCCCCACACACACACACACACTTTTTCGTGGTGAGAAACAAAAAAGCGGATTTTGAGGTATTTTCCAACTTCCCAACGACCAAATCGCATTCAAGAGTACTGAAAAAGGTTGGAAAGTCCAAAAGCTTTAAAGAGGTTGTGGAATGCTCGAAGACAATTCCGTCATTTTTCGGGTATATGTAGCCTAAGGTGTGTTAAAATAAAAACGACTATTGTGTCTGTCATGAAATGAGTACAAAAGGTACTTTTGAGAGCTGTTTTTCAGGTCCTGTTTCGACCCGAACGTGTAATTTGTGTAAAAGTCGTCGTTGGGGGCAGCAAACAAAACATAGTAAATCGTGACGTAAAAAACAGGACTCCCGATGCAGCGTAGTATAAACGAGTCCTGTTTATTACGTCACGATTTACTATGTTTTGTTTGCTGCCCCCAACGACGACTTTTACACAAATTGCCTGGTTGACAAAAAACTAACCTAATGTCTCACCGTTCCTGAGAAAGACGGACGCGGCGGACATGTTGTGACATAAACATACGCATTTTCAGCCGTTCCAGGTTATTAACGCTACACGTTGCGTGTGTGTGTCATGTCATAATACACACAACACCAATACACAAAGGGTTTTTTTTCTCGCACGTCCGCAGAATTCAATCACTGTGCGGCAGGATTCACAACTAGCACTCAACAGCTCGAATTCTGAGAGTAAAAATGTTGAACTGCATTCGTTATCGCATGGTTCTCCAGGAATAATACAAAAACGACCAGTTTTTAAGGATATGGTTGTGTGAACGTTTATACTCATTCCAATTAATATCATTTCGTTTAAAACGCGTTTTGTAGCCCAATTAATAATAATAATAATAATAAACCATTCTTATAAAGCGCATTTTACACGGAGTCCCAATGCGCTGAACAATTAGCAGAGAAAACACTAACATTATATATAATTTGCAGTGAACAGATGGGTTTTAAGATTAGCTTTGAAAGTGTCCAGGGTCACCGGGCGCATTCCAGGATTATTCCCTTTGATAATCAGGAAATCATCTCGGTGTTCATACATTATGTCAACTAGATCAATGTCATGATTAATAAGACAAAAGTAATACATGTACATATTAATCAACAGAAGTGATGCTGTAACAATGGAAATTTGGCCACTGGCCGAAAACCAGGCATACAATAATTATTATTCGTATTATTCAAACGAACTCTTTCATTTTAAACAGTTACTGTATGGCCCAAGACCGGTGGGTTTTGTGGCATGACTTTGCTTCACGTTGCAGGTTTTTCAAGCTAGCAATATTCTGTCGCAAGACTGTGTATCCCACGTTTCCTAAGCAGTGTTTGACGCGCTTATTCAAGCAACGCTCGTAGCTAGCCAGTATGGGGCAGTACCTCCTCTCAGCTCTGTCTCGGTTGAGAGACTTGTGGAATCTCTTGCTGCATCGATTAATGAAGGACTCAGAGCACAGCTTGCTGTACAGCTGTTGATCAGAGATAGTGGTGGACTCAACATCTGCAAGGATATCCCAAAATAATTATTGCTATACCGATTAGTCAATGGGGTTTATAGTTTACTTGACTTTACTCCTTGTAAAGAAAATATTGAGATGCAGAATGGACAAACATCGTTCCCTATCAACTTTCAAAAAAAGGTTTTTTTTAAACACTTATAGACACGTCTTATTCATTATTAACACTTTTTAATTTCAATTTAAATGTTTCTATCTTTCGGCCTTCTGTCAAACAAAACTTATATCGGACAAGCACTGACATGAGCAGGATTTGAATGTACGATCCGTTGAGAAACCACGCAAGCGGAGGTGATAACACACATTGGCAATTGTATACGATTTCAAGACACAAAATAATTCGGCAGCAAACGTGACCCGTGATTGCTTTGTCTGTCTGAACTGTGACGAATCTGTGCACACAGCTGCAAAACCGATTTTTGGGGAAATTCGAAGTTGGTCGATTTTTTCACATAATTTCTCCCCCAGAATTAAAAAATATAACTGATGCAATGGCCCAGTAGTTAAATAGCCAAAAAAATATATATTTTCATAAAATCAGTTTAATTAGGAGACATTAAGTACTAAAGATATTCGTCCCTTCGTCAAAACGGAAATTCTACTTCGTAACAAAAAAAATGTAGCATATGTTTGCACCTAGCGCGCCCGTAAATAAAATTGACATATTTTAGAACGCAGATTCATCACTTCGTCAAGACGCAAATCTTGTAGCATTGCTAGCTACCTGTCCCTACATTCGAAGTCCGTAGGACAATGGAGGGACCGGGTACCTTTGCGCACAAACAGATCCGCTGTGTGAATATGCTGGTTCCAGTCCCTACATTGTCGAGCCTGATAAAGAGCGGAAACCCGTTTGTCCCTAGAGAACTCAAACACTGTCAGAACGCAAAGAATTCGAAATTTGTAAAGTAATTATTCCAAAGCTACACGTGGACAGATGATTTTCGTTGAATGGTTCAACAAAAAGTGAGTAACGCTAGAAAAAAAGCCGTAGAAACAAGTATATATTTTTGGGGTGAAAATCAAAAACAACACAGACAATATTATAGGTGTATCATATAAAGGAAGATTAATAACTCCCCAGTGACCAAATAATGTTAACATTCGCATACCATCAACAGATCGTGCGAAACGCGTCTTCCTGCCGTCACTGAGGGCGCCCTGACCGGTGAGCTTAAGCAAGAGATGCAAGTCGAGCAGAGGACATGCTTCGGAGTCCAAGTAAGCCTGGGCTCTGGCAGCAACTATCCGAGCATAACTCATTATATCACAATCGGCGTCATAGCCAGCTACGCAGTCCACAAGGTACTACAATGAAAACAAATCAGTAAACGAAACGGTGGTTTTTGTCACCATTTTTAACATTCGGAATCTTTTTCGTATAAGAGGGGCCAATCAAGTGGAAACGTTAAGGGTTATATTATGACGTTAATGGAACTTATCAGGCAACTTGTCTGAGAGAATTCAAACTCGTAACATTTTCCGTCATTTTCAACAAAAGCAGCTTAAAAGGCTGCCCCCCCCCCCGCCACCCCCTCGCAGATTCAGGAGGGCAAACAACTAGCAGTCCCAACCACATGTATCAATTCACAGAGCATTTTGTAAACAACTCTTTAATAAACAGGCGCATATCGACGTTTTACAACACTCTTACCAGTTGACCTGCAACGCATATAATAATAATAGGAGGTACGTGTAATTCATAATTACCTGTGTAGCTTTGCAAGCTGTTTCATCCGCCTTGCTGGACTTCAGTTCAGTTGTCATGAATTCCAGATATAACTTGTCACAGGTCTGTATAATTCCCTCTTCACACTCTGTTAAACAATAGAAATCGAAACGGCCAAAGAAGAATGAATTTAATGGAGAGACTGACGTTGTCAGTTCTTTTCTTACTATTTGACTGCCATTTGGCGCAACCTTTTATACATATGCAGTCTTCGTGGCATGCACACTATGGTTCGTGTGTACACGAAACTATTAATTATTTTTGCAGTAACACCATGTGGAATAATCTCTTTTGAGAAGAAGTGTGGTTCCCACAATCAACCGGTTCTTTTTCAGGACCACACTTCTTTTCAAAAGATATTATTCCACATCGTGTTACCACAAACTTCACTAGTAGTATGCAAAGGTTCATGTCTTATTTATTTAACGAAAATGTTGTTTTTCTTTCTAGTTTGTGTTGATTTTGCGCACAGATCCATCCACCATGTGCGCAGACTGGTAAACGTCCTCACAGTATCGATTCTAAAGAGGGGCGGAACCAGTCGACCTTTACGAGAATACTCCAAAAACAATCTTGCTGTCACTTTGTAAACATATTTAGAATCTAAGCATTTGATACGTGTCAATTCCTAAACATCAATGTTTAATCGCTAAACACTATTCTCTAAAAATGTTTAGTAAGTAACATGTTTACAAACTGAGAGCAGGAAAGTGTTTAGAAAAGACTTTTCTAAACACTTTCCTAAACTTTTCTAAACACTTTGTTTGGCAATTAAACACTTAGTGTTTAATTGCCAAACAAAGTTTTTGCAGTGAACTGAACTATTGTCGGGCCGCATGTAATTCGAAATTTCTAAAGTAATTATTCAACATCTAATCGTGTGCTAATTTTTTTTTCGGTCGACGTCTCATTCAAAAAGTGAATTACTTTTGCATTGCTAGAAAACAGCAATTTAACAACAAAACCTTTGAGGTGAATAAAACAACAACATGGACAGTGCTATCGACCGAAACTTAGCGATATTTTCCCTTAAAGTAAATATACCAGCTGCGTGTCAAGTCTGTGAACCTTCCATTTGTGATCGTAAAATGTATCGTCACATTATCGGTTTGCTTAGTTTTAAAAAAGGCAGATATAGCTGTAGGCCTACTTCAATTACAATACGATCGAATGAGCGTGTGAATTTCTCTTTACTCACTTCTACCCCAAGACAGCTTTTTAGCCGATTCAGGACATTGCACGAGGCTCAGGTCGGGGTATGTCTACTTTCCACCAAGTATTAAAGGTAACAAAATATGCATCTGCTTATGTCATGTTTATTAAACTGGGTTGAATATTACTAATACTTCGAAAGGCAAAATTATAATTTTACGGTGCTGACAGATCATACGCAAGTTATATGACAGATCAGACTTTAATATCGAAAAAAATGTGCCTTTTTGAGCCAAAAATGCTGGATAAAGTTGCATTCTGCTTGTGTCCCAGTAGTCCCACCTACCGTCGCGAACTGCCAAAGGAGAGCTTTGTTGTAAGAACTCCTCTTCTGAGAATCGGCCATCCCCATCCACGTCATAGGCCTTGAAGACCTGGTCAACCACCCTAGTGTGATTGCCATTCTGGGTGACGTATTCTTCCCTGGTCACGAAGCCGTCTCCATTCTTGTCAGTTAACTGAAACAGCTCATGTCTGGATGAGAAGTCACCATAGAACTCCTCTTCGTCATCGCTGAAGAAAAAAACACTGATCCGTTTTGGCTTGTGCTAGGCATACCATGGGCAAAGTTCAATTTGATAATGCACACAACCAAATTAAAACGACTGTCCACTATAATATGCTGTGCGAGAAAAGTTTGCAAACTCGGTGGAACTCAGTCGAACCCACGACATCCTGTTTACTTGCGAAGACGAAACCACTTGATGTTCTCTTCGTCAAAAGTCATTTGATCATAAATAATATATAAGTGACCTATCGTTATGCTTACTAGCACTCTGTCAACCGGTAATGATTCCTTGTGCACTGCAAATTATGCATGCATTTAGTTACAGAGTAGAGGCTATTTACCACGAAAGAAGGATTTATATAAATTCAACCTCGAAATGCTTAACTGGCATAAGTACAATCATGGGTGAAAACAAATCTTGAAAATTCAATTAGGGACACATTATTAAATTTCCAAGATCAGAACATAAACAATTAGAATGTTAATCATTAACATTGCTGAGTTACCTTGACTCAATCTACTGTACAACAGTATTACGTACTGATACAGCAACTGTGTAAGGGTAATATATTCAATGTTAAGGGTATATAATGTTCCTGTATAGTGGGTAACCTTAAGTTTCTTATTTAAACAATTCTGGGATAAAATGTGAGCGAATAAAATACGGCATTACGCACGGACCCAACACCCAATAAAAATTAGTTGCATCCTTGAATGCTCGCAAAGTCATGCTTTAATATTGCAATACAGGCCTCTTAGAACATGTTCAACTTCCAAAAATAGGAAAAACAATATGGTTTAATAAATTATTACATAATTTGTCAAATCACTCTCCAAACCGGTTGGCGTAAGGGATCACGGGCAGGGAAAGCTGAGAATATTTTGTTTTATATTAAAGGCCCACAATCCAGAACAACCCGTCTGACATTTATTATATTACACAAAACACTCCCTGTGTGACTAATCTTATAAATAAACACATTAAGTTTAATTCATGGCCGTAACAACACATATATTGGCACGAGGACCGATGTTTATATAGAGTGCATAAATCACTCCATATTAGTAAACACACACGTCCAAAACATATGTTTGAGGCGCAATAAGTACCGGTGCTGTAGCAGCGCTTCGGCCCGATGCCATTATATGCAATAAATCAATCATGACTGGCATGTTTTCGGGAATATACCTTGCGTGATTTTACCCTCTCTCATTGCTTAGCAAAGTATTTGTATTCGATCTTTTGATCAACTAATACATCCTGTAAACTTTGAGTTGTTTTTCATGTCCCTTTCAGACATTATCACGCCAAGATCACACTAAGCAAACAACAAATCCAACATTCATTGAAAATGCAAGATTCAGGACTGTTAGAGTGGGATCTACAGAGTGTCCCCATAAATTTTAAGCATGAAGAAATCATCATATTACTCAAAAAATAGGAAAAACACATTTTCAAATGTATGGTATTGTAAAGTATAGCCTACAGTCTTGCAGACCACTAGACAAACGTATGTCGGATTCGGAGAACAATTAAGGCATGAACACTTTATGCCCTTTGATGCCTTTTTCACGTTGATGTGTTTTCCCTCACAACGTTTGGCCAACATGAACTCTTTTAACAGAAATGACATTAGCTGTGAGTATTTGGTATGTTCATATTGCCCATCCGGACGCAGATTAAACTATGTCCATATTTACCTAGGCATATCACTATCATCTTGTGACGTCACATCTTCTCCATCGTCATCCATGATGATGTTATTGCGATTGTGATGTTCGTAGTTGTTGTGGCGAAGATGGTGATGATGATGATGACGTTGATGATGTACAGTCTCCTCTCCTTTATCGTTGGGATGTTCATTTGCCGTGATGCCAGTTGATAAAATCATCACAACCAGCACCACTAGCAGACTCACATGTTTAGTCTTCATCCTAAATATCAAAAGATAATTGTTCAAATAATATTATCGGTGGATGTTACTTGCATGGTGGACAGTACTCGGCATTTTCCTGAGAACGAACAGAATCGTCGAGAGCAGTTCCCACCACTAGTTATTTCCAGAGCCACAGTCGCGGAGAGATTAATTACATGTTGTTTCTACAAATTTACCACTTTAATTTATCGATGGACGATTTTGTCAACGTATGGGGATTTTTGCCCGATTAATAATACATTATGGAGTAGGAGGATCCTATTTATTATAGAACACCAGCAATAAACACCCACTCAGGTTAAAAACCTACGTGAAGATAATGCATGGGCTATGAATCTGAAAACATCAAATGCAATCTCGACATTTTCTTTAATCTTTGTAACTAAACTTGAAGGTTGTCGTGTGCTGGTGACGGGTGGTTCTGGTGTGTGCAAGCGTGTGCTCATGTCACTGAGAGGCAGACGTTGTGCAAACGTTTCGTCAGTCATTTTTACCATACGATTGTGGATTTTCACTTTATTCAAACTTAAAGGGACACTGCGTCCTGGGAAGCGCCCAATTATCGGGCAAGTAAGGTCCAAGACACGTGAAAAAAACATGAACCACCCAGGATTTCTGTCAATTGTGCTGCAGCTTGAGTTGCATTTTGAAAGTCCAGAAAATGGTACCTTCCGGCACCTTTGGCATACAAGATAATGCCCCACTGGCCCCACAGAAACATTGCTGTCATGAAATCGCTTACGGGAACTTTTTGGGGCAAGAGAAATCGTACTGAATTATGCTGTGGAATGACCTCCCAGGTTACCGGATTTAACTTTCTCTTTTAAGCCCTTTTTGTGGCGTATTTAACAGTCCACCTCCCAACCTTCAGGATTTGCAAGTCAGCATTTCGCACGAGGTAGATAATTTACGTGATCAATCTGCAGTACTAAGACAGGCCATGGAAGATAGATGCGCCGCCGCTGGGGTGGCAGGTGGGCATGTGGAACGTGATAAACCTGGCTGAGGTGTTGAATTCTGAATGATCATGGAGCAAGGAAAACGGATGATGAAGATCATCATTTGACAGAAATTCTGTTTTTTGTCTATGGTTTCGTAAGTTATATGTCCCTTGAACCCGCCTGTCTTACGTCTGTATGTACCGGTACTCTCTGTCCCAAGAGGGTCTTCACGTACCATTTTTAAAACAGTTCGAGCCTAGTGCAATGACCAGAGGAATGTAATCAAGATAAGAATGGAAAGCTTACTGTCCCTAGTTTATGATAAAACCATAAAAATGGTAAATAAGTTCACAGTTTGGTAAAATTATCCCTTTGTTTGTGGGTCACTTTTTAAAGAAACCCTGTATACCCATGGGCGTCGCCAGGATTTTTTCTAGAGGGGGGCAAAACAATTTTTTGCCAAAAAATGCTTGTATTTCTCAACACATTCTCGATTTATCAGTTTTAGAGGGGGGCAGGGACATTTTGCCCCCCCCCCCAACTCATTAAATTTACACCACTTTGTCTTCGCGCCTCTTTTTCTTTTCTTTTCTTTTTCTTCCTTTTTCTTCCTTTTTTTTTTTTTTTTTTTTGCTTTTCCAGGGGGGGGGGGGCAAGTGCCCCCCCCTTGCCCCCCCCCCTCGCGACGCCCATGTGTATACCTCATCCTGTCTTTTACTAGGCTTTGTTTCCTTACTCGTTTATTGTTTTTGAGGGTTTTGGGGAAGAAAGGGTACGAGGGTATTGAGAGAGGACCGACATTTCTTGTCGAGGAAATCCCTCGGACTGGGTTTTGGCTATAAATCCCATCGGCTTATTATGGTTAAATGGTTTTGTATGCTCAACTACCTCACTCGCTGAACGTCTCAGCGGAGAGCTGTGCATTGTTGAATAAATAGTCACCTTGAGATGGACAAGAACCCCTTCCTCCATTGAGAAGCTGAAAATACCAGGCTTTTACTAATACTCGCACAAAAGACATTGATCGACTGCTGATTATGCCTGGGTTGACGCACACAATTCCCTCTTTAAGGAGGATTTGCTGGCTATTGGGTGCAGAGATACTTGAGAGACAAACCAATGGATAAGTAAGCAAAGGGACATGCGCAATAATTGGTAAACAAGTTAATCTACGAGCGCCAAGTTGCTGGATAATGGGTTTCTGTCAGTTAAATCCCTGCAGTGGTTTAATTCCCCGCAAATCGACAAAACTGCAGAGCTTACTTGTGAAGACATTCGAGTTGTGCCTCACAGTCACAATCTACTCCTGTTGGTTCGCCATTTATGTACTTGATCGAATTTCTATGGAGAATCTTCATAAGATTGCTCTGAGGAAGTTGTTATTTCCTTTGTACTGATCCAAATAACATATCCTCTTTCAAATTTACACGGGGCAACAAGGAAGGTTTTACCAATCATGGGGCCCTATCTAACAAAACAGGTCACTCATCTATAATGAAGACTTTGAAAGGAATGAAAAATTATTTCATTATGTCCTTGATGGTGTAATAGGCAGGTGTCAAACCTTATATCAAATTGAACAAATAATTCGGCTTTTCTAGTGCATCTATATAATGCGTTTTAAAATCGGATCATTAATTCTTGCGTTCTTTTCCCCTTGAATTTGCTCAAACGCAAATGACTTTTGTCCTCACTGTTGTTTGAATATGAACAACCACGGCGCACACTTTGCTTTTTTTAAGTCGTTGAATGATGTGTTAATATCTTGCGATTTCGGTACTCCCACTTAATATTTCGTCATTCTTAATTTTCAATCAAAACAATATCAATATTCAACCTCTCTCAGTCGATCATACAACCGTCCGCTGTTTCTATAGTGACATATACAGAAATTAACTGGCACTCATCTAAATTTAAAACGGTCGTGATTTTTCAAAAGGTTCAAAAGATTTGTCCATAAAACTGAGCTCAGACTTTCAAATTGCGTTCATGAAAGTGACAAAGTATCAAATGGGCCTAAATCTCGATTCTGTTTCCCGTTCTTTGATGAGTGAAGTTGTAAATGTATAATTTTGCTGATGCGTATGAACCGCTTGCTCAAAGCATGCAGCTATAAAGCGTTTTACGGTTTCGCTCACTAAGCTTTTCTAAGAAAGCATGGAGGTAGAATGAAATTACCTTGTCATTGTATATTTCAACATACATCATGACATACATGACGTAAATTGCCATATTTCACGCTTCACGATATCTTACTTGTGAATCGGAAATTGTAATTTGCCATGTATGCTGAAAAATGTAATGACGAGGTAATTTCATTCTTAGAATGGCTAAGGGCGCGAAACTGTTTGTTTTAAGCAAGAGGTGTCTGACTTTCGCATAAGGAGACCACGGACCATTTACATAAATGCTCCATGGGGAGACGCAGCGAATTTTATACACTTCACTCATCAAAGAACGGGAGTGATGGTGACACAGAATCGAAATTTAGGTCGTGCACGTTGTGCATTTCCTACTTGACACTTTCATCACTTTCACATAGCATATCCACTTTTCCATGATTAACTCCTACTTACACATATTCCCCCGGAACCTCAATGTTATATTTTATTTAAAATCAACATATTTCACTTACCTGAAAGATACCTGTCTTCGTCAGTATGCCTCCTTAAATATTCCACAGAACTGATACACGGGGTCGTCAAGCTAGCTGTGAGACGCCTTAGGGGCAGTAATGCGCCTAACAGCATGCCAGCATGGAGCCTACATCCATGAACCAGACAGCTTGGCTATTTGTACACCCGCACTCGGCGTATTCGCTTATGCTGTTTAAACACGAGTAGGCCTATGCCCAGGTTGATTTAAATTAAAAGGAGGTTGGGTTTGTTTAGATTGTTTGCGAGGCTGTACTCGGGCTGCTAACATTCAAGGACCACGCGAAGGCTTCAAGCAAATCTTGCTGTTAGGAAGAGTGGAGGTTTCTAGGGTTGTGTGCACTATTCAACTGTAACGGCATATACACTAGGCCTACACAGAGGAAGCGCGGATACTGCCTAGTTGGTGACCTCGTGTCTGTTTATCCTTATCAATACAAACAAAAGCTAGTCAGCGTCACTGCGGTTGCAGAACCCTCCTGATTGAATGTCTACAAAAACACATCAAACGGGTGTCCAGATTTCAACATCTTAATGCTCCTCACCTTTAACATTAATCATGGAGCTATGCCGATATTAATCTAGTTTCTGTGTTTTAGTGCAACACAAGATTATAAAAGTCACTACATTAAGCAGACATAGGCCTAGGCCTAATAAAAATGGCAAACTCGAAATGAGCCTTTCTCTATTACATGTACATGTTTATAGATTTAACCTAAATGCTAAACAGTGCATGGGTTGAAAAAGTCTGATCTGGAACATATTATTTTAGTATTTTATGAAAACGTGTACTGCCAGTGGCGTAGCCACGGGGGGGCGGGGGGGGGGCGTGGGGGGGCGTGGGGGGCGACAGCCCCCCCCCCATGAAACCTTGTCGCTCCCCCAGTCGCCCCCGATAGTAGCATCAGTAGCATCCGATAGCTATACAGTCACATGAATCATGGAGCTATTGTAGTCAGAAGTCTTGAACAAATGAAAATACGGAAGTTGATCTGAATGGGATCGGTTGCTGTCGGACGTACAGCTTAACCTATGGTACAGTAACAGCATGATGACCTTTTATTTATTGTGATAACACCGAAGTTTTCGCAACGCAAAATACGAATAACAAACAAAATATATATTCTGGATTTTCGGAAGAGAATGCGTTCTAATCGATATGCAAGGATCGATGGGTCTATCCACGGAACTATTATGGCGTTCATCGGTTCTGCCTTGAGGAGAACGAGGACCATGTGGAGGACCATGTTTGTCTTAGCAGGACATGTGTAAACAAGAGGAGAACGCTTGTGTCTATGAGGGAACGTCGACATTGTGACTGCGATTGACCCAACAAAAGCATCAATACAATACCAACTACAGTGACTGTACTCACTGGATCACGAGCAGTCAATAATCTGTGGCTTGAACACAGACTTGCTTTGGAATTTACATTGGTGTGTCCGATTCGTCCGTCCGATCGCGTTTGTCCTTACCGTTCAGTCGTCCGTTCGTTCGGTCATTGGTTCGTTTGTTTGTTCGTTCGTTCGGAGTTTTTTGTTTTGTTTGTTATTTGTGGAGGGGATTGATTTTATCGTATACGTGCACTAATGTCTGAAAGTCCGGGAAAAAAATACCTCTTTCCATGCCATAACTAGAATTATAGCCTCTAAAGTCGCAATGAACTTAATCAATTACCTTTAGATTTCAAATAATTTCCGCTGTCCGGCCGCCATATTTGTCCATTTCTTGGGATGAACAACGCATGCGTGTGACGTATTTCCACCAGTGACTCACGAGCAGGGTCTGCGATTACTGACCCGGGTAAGCCCGAGAATGCACGTCAGAGCTAATCGAACGGCACGAGCTGACCCGTGTCTACCCGGGTGAGCTAAACGAACGCACCCATCGACTGACTGCGTATGTTTTCACTTGCGTATAGCGTGTCGCTCGAGGGCCTCCTTTGTATTGATGTAAACATGGGTACCTGCAATATCGCGGCAGTGCTTTACCCAAAATCTCTCCTAAAGATATTTTCAGGATATTCCTTACAGTATCTTTATAAAAAGTTACGATCTGACACAAGGTATAAGCTAAAAATATTTAGGTTTTTCCATTCCTAAAGAGGCGTCAGGATACTACATTCTTACTTATTTCCTTCTTACCACAACCTGTCATGAGATGTTTGCGGTTGTCCATAATTATCCACTTTTATACCACGTTGGACGCTCACGTTCTCAGCAACCAAATCAGCGCCCTACTTCTCATTCCTTATACTCTATGAAACGAGCCACACTCATCGGCTTTGCGTATAGACACGAAATGAGCCCACTGATCTTTGACCAGATGTGCATGTGTACAGTCTCTTGTTGTGGTAACCTATTGTTGGGATTCCTATGGCTTGACAAAACCTTTAGGCTTGTCCATGTTTGTGTTTTTATCTCAACAAAGTGGAGGTCATTGATATGTAACCTGAAGATTAGTGTGTTTTTAAAAACAATAAACAGCTTTTGGGGCGGTATGGTGGCCTTAACAGGACATCACTGTCGTGTTAAATGAAATGTACATCATTGGCTTTTGCAGTAATTTTCAGAAATGAACTATTTGAGGGGTAAGTATAATAGATCAAATATTGTTACACTGACATGTTTGAAGTTTTGTGTTCGAAAATGCTGGAAAAACAAAAATGCTCAAGTAGTCTGGTTCCCTGACTCCAGTAAAGATAAAATGGATCAATATATAGATGCCGGAAAAAGGAAAGGGAACCAGTCTAGCTGGCCTGCACCCGTTCATGAACATGTAACCAATAGCAAACAACGTTTTGACTGAAAAAAAATTGTAAATTTGGAGCAGTAGTTGAAAAATAGTTAGGTTTTTCCAACGGTGGTCGGCCGACCACCGTTGGAAATGTATACAAAAATGCCATTTTCTTGAAGATGACTTAACACCAGGTGCCATAATTTTACAAGATGCTTTAGACTGTCATTTACCAACATCCTAGTAAGGTATTTCGTAAAAACTTGGTAGTTTTGTTTTTCGTTGTTTGCAAATGTTGTATATTCCCTTTAAGTCGAGAGAAGCTGTTCCATTCAAATATAATAGACCACGACGCAGCAATGTCAGACAAGCATGCACTGCCCCAGCCAAGTGTAAACTAAGCACGACACCTGCACGGAATCATTGTATTCATAGCAGTTTGTCACATTATTACGGAAGCTTGAATTGCCTTCCTCGATACCGCGTTACCGTGATAATTTATCACAGAAATCCGGAATTCAAAGATAATCCCTTCCTCGATACCGCGTTACCGTGATAATTTATCACAGAAATCCGGAATTTAAAGATAATCCCTTCCTCGATACCGCGTTACCGTGATAATTTATCACAGAAATCCGGAATTCAACGATAATCCCTTCCTCGATACCGCGTTACTGTGAAAATTTAGAAATCCGGAATTCGCAGATTTTGTTGTCCAAGGTCACATTTTTGGATAGGTGGTTGGCTGCTTAAATTCTAGTCAATTTTAGATAATATTGAAGACTTAAAGTAACATGCACCATTTGATTGAAACTCAAAATATGAAACGGCCTCAATTTGATGTGATGAACTTTATAGTAGGATCGAGTATTCATATACTTTGGAATCATTGTGCCAGTGCTCATCTCATTTTCGAGGAAAGAGGAATTTACCACCCTGGCGATGGTAATTAGCACCAAACCACAGCGCAGTGTCAAAATCTTGCTTTACGTCTAGACAAGTATAAAACTAAAGATGCACTTGTAACGCAGTATCAAGGAATAGATATCTTTGAATTCCGGATTTCTATGATAAATTATCACAGTAACGCGGTATCGAGGAAGGGGTTATCTTTGAATTCCAGATTTCTGTGATAAATTATCACGGTAACGTGGAATCGAGGAAGAAATTATCGTTGAATTCCGGATTTCTGTGATTAGTTATCACGGTAACGCGGTATCGAGGGATAGCTATCTTTGAATTCCAGATTTCTGTGATAGTTATCACGGTAACGCGGTATCGAGGAATATGTATTTTTGAATTCCGGATTTCTGTGATAACTTATCACGGTAACGCGGTATCGAGGAAGGAATTATCTTTGAATTCCGGATTTCGGTGATAAATTATCACGGTAACGCGGTATCGCGGAAGGCAATTCAAGCTTCCGTACATTATGCATGGAGATAGTAGCACACTATTAAGCGCAACTACAGCACCCCCACATGGAAATCCAAAGAAAAACGACTTGTCTAGAAATTATCGGGCATCTTGCCGGAAAATGAAATGACTTCCTAACTAATATATAATTTGCATAAATATTCTTGGCTATTAAAATAAGGATTCATTCTTTCGTTTCATTTCATGTCATTTCATTTTTGCCCTTTTTGTTTATTCTTTAACTTACACTGTTATCCAATAATTTGTACAACGCTCATGCTATTTTCTAACACTGTTGGTATGATGATTTTTCAGGCCCAAAGTTTAAGTACAATGTACATGTATTATCAACCCACAATATCATTCTGTTATGCTCGCAGGCCGTAACATTGAATCTATCAATTCGTCAGTTACCACTACACTGGAAAAAGTTGTTATCAACAATTTAATAAACAGACACTTTCTTTGAAATTCAGTGACCTAGTTTGAAAACTTATCTGCAATCAAATCAAGGGACACAAACATTATTTCCTACACTGTGCAGGGCAATACCAGCAATTGTCTACGGGTAACTGCGAGATGGAGACGGTAAGGTTGAGGGCTACCTTGTCAACTACTGCTGGTAGATGGTAGGCGATTGGATCGGGAGAGAGCCGTCTGTTGCCTGGAAATTGCCTGTACTCAGAGTTAGCGAGTAGCCATCCCTGGTATTCGGGTAACGATGTGTACGCATTGCGGGTTGTGGATTGCCGATTATAAATTATAGAGGCATCATTTGATTATTTAGAAGAGACAGTTGCATCAAATTGTGTAAATGAAATAAGTCTTTATATAAAGTGAAGTGAAAGTATAACCATAGAGCAAGGACCCAAGGAGTCAGAACTCTTGGGCGATTTACATTTTGACCATTAACATACCAATCCCGACCATTCAAAGCGTGAATGCCAGCGGCCTTTGAACACGATGCTCATCGCCGCCTTTTTAGTTGGTAACCAACAACCTCCCTATATGCTGCATAATAAATCATGTCACGTCGCTGCTCTTTTTTGAAAAATATATTTTACGACAAGATAGGTTTTTACAACTGCGCAGTTGTTAGATGTGAGTTATGAACTCAAGTTAGCAATGTGTAGTTATTGGTGCTTAAAAGCGTTATCTGTCCCTGTAATTTGGAGATAAATTGGATTTCTTTCAGATAAGTTTTCATGTATTTTCAGACATTTTAATTGGCAATATATCATTGATGAAATGTGTTTTTTTTGGAAAATTTTACAAGT